GGCTAACTTTTTACAGTGAGGGCCGCATTGAGAACTGTTTTACCTTTGAAGGGCCGCATGTTTTTACCTTTGAAGGGCCACATGTTTTTACCTTTGAAGGGCATATGTACTTAATTACTTAAATAGTTAAATAGCAAATTTTTTCGACCCGGGGAAGAATTTTTTTAATATTAGTGGCTCATTTTTTTGGCGAACAAGGCTTTGCGGGCCGCATTAAATAGCTTCGAGGGCCCCATGCGGCCCACGGAACGTAGTTTGCCGACCCCTTGTTTATCGTTACAAATAGCAGTAATAAATAATAACAATACTTTTGTTATTAATTTTTATTTACATTGGGATGAGCGGGGCAAAATCAGATGCTGTTCACCCACCATTACGTCTCAAGAGTCTCGTAAAAATGAAACTTTGTAATTAAGGAAGATAGGGAGTTACGGAGAGAGAGAGAGAGAAAGAGAGAGAATTAAGGCATGGATGTAAAAAGAGAGAGTGATTGGAAATAAAATGAACCAATCAAGAAAAAAAGAGAAAAAAAGAAGGAGAGAAAGAGAAAGAGAGAGAAAAAGAGAGAGAATTAAGTGTGTAAATTATGCAAAACACATTTTTTGTCTTATTTTCAAGGAACAAACATGGATGACGAAAAGAAAATAATGAGGACGGTGATGATGACGATGACGATGATGATGATGATGATGACAATGACGATGATGATGACGATGATGATGATGATGATGATGATGACGGTGACGATGATGATGGTGATAATACAAAATTTTTTTATTACAAAGAATATAGAATCAGGTTGAGTGAAAAAACGGTGTCCGAAAAATTCATCGTGGGGAGAAAATTCATCGGGAGGCTAATTTGAAGTTACAGTTTTTGTAATTATTTTGTAATATTAGTGCCGACAGCTTTCTGTAGACCTTCTTGTAGAGGGTTCGATCGCGAGCCGAGCCGAGCAAGTGCAATTGACCCGAAATTCACTCGAATTCAAGTTGAAATTTGTCGAAATTAATTGAAACGAGTCGAAATGTGAATTATTGTCGGACATTCATTAATAGATCGTTGATTGAACTACAGTATATTGACGAAGGTCAGGAATCGTACCAACAACTGTACCAATGAATTGATAAATTAATTAATTAAGCCAAAAAATGAATCAATTTTGGCAATTAATTGACGAATTAGGCCAAATAGTGAATAGATTTCGGCATTTTAACGATTAAACGATAGTTAGTAATTAGCATTATACTGTACGATAGGGATTGAACCTACCGCTGCTGGCCACCCACCACTATCAACGATAATCTAAGTAAACGAATTCGGGCTCGATTAATTAATTAATTAATTAATTAATTGAACGGCCTCACAAATATTTCCGCCCTTTTGAAAACTTTTCTATCCTTTACCTTTTCAATTTTTCAGTAATGGAATTTAAAACAATTCAAAAATGCGTTTATTTTACAAAAGTATTACAAGAGAACGACTAATCAATCAATGCGCCAAGAAGTTAAAATTATGGGCCAATCCACGAAGATAATCCATTCTATCACTTTTTTCGTAATCTTACACTACACGATATATTTGAACTGCCGTGTCTCGATAAACCTTTTTGCTTGGAGGCGGATTGGCATCAGCAACATAATGTTCTATTTTTCTTTCATTTAAAGCTTGTTCGTCTTTCAAGGATGAAATGAATTTTCATATTGTTGGATAGCCAGCTCCAATTAGCTCACTAAAGGTTTCTAGCCTGCTAGCCTTTGCTGGAATTTTCGGTTTTTGCAAGCCGTTGAGAGCAGCATTGTAGCAATCCCAGAGGTCGCATGCAAAAGGTGGAGGTCTGCCGATTAGGTCTTCCGATCCAAGTGTTCTCAAAATAGTCTAAAACAGGTTGAGCTTCTACTGGGAAATCTTCCGATAGTTGTTCAAAACTTTCTATAATGTCATCTGGGTGAACAAAAGCTAAACGTGATTTCATTTGAGATGTTTGGACCTCTGTTGAAGGCCGGCCGTTCGCTTCGCCACAGGCATTGGCCAGATGAAATTGATACATCGAACCATCAATAACACATTTGCAACCTGGAAAATTTGACTATCTTACAATTTTGCCACAATACCACAATGAATTA